CTACGCCATACTGCCCTGAACACGCTCAATCTCATCTGAAATGCTGTTCTAGTTTTGTCCTCAATTTAGCAGGAGAATCACTGGGGTTCCTACTTAAGCAATTAGAAAGTAGCTGCATTTAAAACCTTCACTCACTTAAAAAGATAAAAGAATATTTGCTTGGTGCTTCCTTTTTATCTTTCTGTCTTCCATCCCCTTAAAAAAATATTTGTAGCTGGCATTTTATTGAGGGAGACAACAGATACAATAGATTTGGAACCATGGATACTTTGAAAAATCCAAGTTTGAGGCTTTTTTCCATCCTTGTCAAGTTGTGGCCAATTCCCGTCCACCATCAGCAGACCAGCTTTTTGGGGTTATGGCACTCTACCCTTGAACAACCTAGCAGTGCTGGTAGCTGTGGATGGTGCAAGGTGACCAGCTGTCCCAATTTTAGCAAATTCCTGCCTTTGGAAACTGTTGTCCCAGGCAAACAGAAAACTGGGGCATTGGTGTTCTGTAGCAATTGAGGGAGGGTGAGAAAACACTTAGAGATAAGAGGCAGGGGATCTGGAAGAAAGTACTTTTGAGTGATAAATGTCTGCGTTTGATTCTTGGCTCAAATACTTAACATCTTGTCACTTTAGGTAGATTATTTCACCTCTCTGGTCCTATGGAGAGCTCTGTGAAAAGCGTATTTTCTGTTAGAGCCATGCACTCGGCTTGTCTCGGTGTCTGTCAACCCCTTCATGTGTGTACTTACCAAAAGCTGAGAGTGAGGGCCGAATGCTAAAATGGACCTGGGTGCTGGAGATGCAAACTGAAGGCTGATCGTTCTTGCCCTCCCCGAGCCCGGAGCTCAGCGCCCTCTGTGTCAGTGCAGCCGTAGTGGATGGAGGCTTTTCAGTAGCAATCCTGCAGGACTTTTTGCCTGGATGGTCCACATTTCATTGCTCCTGTAACGTGTCTAGGGGACAGGAGACTGAGCTCCTTAAAGACAGCCTTTCAGACTAAAAAAATCAGATCTTTCTTGACCTTTCAGATTTTGAAAGCTGTGAGTCCTAATCTCTTTAAGTCTCATTTTCCCCAGTCTGTCCCTTATTAGCACTGTAACCTTGAGCAAGTGACAACTGCTCTTTGGGCCTTAGTTTTTCTGTAAAGTAGAGAAAATTGTGATTCCTGCCTCATGAGTTGTTAGGTGGATTCAGTGCTGTCATTTCTGTTGAGTATTTAGCGGTGTCTGACACACAGTAAACAATAAATGGAAAGAATGAAATGATTCCGTTTTTTGTCTGTCTCTGAGGGTGTTGGGACTTGTTTCTTTCTACCCCTTGCCCAGACTCTGAACACCTAAGAGATAGGCGCCACATCTCGTGTTTGCCTCTGTGTCCACACCCAGCCCTGCCTGGTCAACAGTAGGTGCTTCGTAGTATTGGTTTATGACCTGATGATGATGACGATATGACATATCTTCCAGGATTAAAAATGGTAAGATAAGGAAATGTATTTGAAAGCACACTGTAATGAAAAGCATAACACTTGGTATGTCCCTCCACTGAGGTATTTTCATGGTGTGTCGTTCATTATTCGCTCACGTATCTTTTCTGCTCTCTGGTTCGCCTACTTCTCCAAAGCAGACTGTGTCTGACCTTATCTCGGAATTCCTCTCCAACACCTGCATAGTGTTCTGCACAGAGTAGACGTAGTTTAATCGAACGCAAATGTCATACAAAAGTAAGAAATTGTGAAATTATTACTACGGTTGGGAATGAGGGCTGGATGTTAAGTACAGATTCTTCTTTCCTTCTTGGTACTACTTTACACAAGCAGACACTCCTTAAAAAAGTGTTCCTTAAAGAAAAACTTCTTCCCAGGGGGATGATAAAATGGAGGGAGGGCAAAGGAGGAGGGGTAGGGGTGACAGTGTCATGATCTGAGCACCTGGCCCTGGAAGCCGGCACTTAGGGCACATCTTCATAAGCTCTTGGGTGGAATTCATGTGATCAGCCTAGAGCTTTGGGGTTACTGCTCTGCTCATTATCAGCTGAAAACTGTTGAAGTGTTGGTATAAACCAGGTGTAGTGGCTGCAGGCTTGTGTCAGCTGGCTACAGATTGGGGCTCCTCTCCCAAGAATGGGCTGTTGGGGCCAGTATTTTGAGGGTCTGGGCTTGCCTGGGCAATATGGGAAGGTAAGAAGTACCTAAGTGAGATCCTTTCTGTTCTGACTCCCCAAAAGATCTTTTACCAAAAGTTTCTCTTTTGCATCCTCAGTGACTCAAAAGAATATGCCAGTGTGGAAGGTCATTGTTACAATGGCTGATGGTGATGCTGAGGAAGGGCCCCTGCAGAGTCACGTTCTGAGGTTGGCCCTCTTCTTGGTCTTGGAGAGCAGGCTTGGCTGATGGGCGAGCAACATTGCAGAGGTGTTTAGGATAGGTCCAGTCTGCTGTGTCCTGGCCCCCAGGCATCTCAGGGCTTACCCGTCTTCCCCTGGAGCCGAGGCTGGCTTGTTCCCCCTCTCTGGGAGGGTGGATACCGAGTATAAGCACTTAGGTTGGCTCCATTTCCCCAGGGGCGAGAAAGCCAACAGCAGGAAGGATTGAGCTGCAGTGGGTAAACCGACGGCCAAGTTTTAAGAATGTCTCCTGGGGATGCTGACTTGGTGCTGGTCAGAGCAGTAGCTGAAGCGCTTACTATTTTATAATAAATACTGATAAAATTCTGGATCTGTAATAGCATTTCAGATATCTAAAACAAACCATGTGCTTGTAAAAAAGTGGAAAGAGATCAACTTTAAGCCATAAATTCTTGGTAATAGAGGGTTTTTTTCTATTTATGTTTGATAGATATTTTTGTTTCCAGAGGAATGTCAACTCCTAATTTCATAATGTATCATGGGCTTAAGAAAATTGAATTTAATAAAAGCCAGAGATGAATGGCATCCTTAAAGGTCCCAACACTTGTCTTTATTAGCAGGACAAACTGCAGGTCTCCAAACACTGCTTCTCTCCAAATGAAACTTTAAATGAAAAGTACAGTTGTGTCACAGGTTAAATTTCATTGTGGGCCCAGCTAACACTATTAGCGAGGAGCTGGCTGTATTTGTTTCCTTGGACACCAGGGCAGCCAAACTCACCAGGCTACGGAGGTCTTTCAGTTGGGGAAGCGTTTCTTCTACTTAGTGGCAGAGGAAGGGTCTGTCAGAAGTTCTGGAGTCAGATGAACCCTACCTCAGGGTTAGCTCTTGGAAGTCTTGGGTATCTGATTTTGCAGGAGGACCAAGGTGTATTTGTGTGTGTGTGCGCCTCAGTTTTGTTTTTCAGAGCAAAGCTCTCCTCTCTCTGGCCTGCGTTGTGCTGGAGGAGAGCTATCATCTAGTTTAAGCCACAGCCTGGGCCTCCTCTGTGTCCCCTTCTGCCTCAGTCTTGCAGTCTTTCCGCCCTTCCTCTCTCTGGGGGTTCCCGTCAGCTTCCCCACCTTTGGGGCAGCCCAGGGAGGCCGGGCAACCAGAACCCTTGAATTTTTCTGTCATGAAATCTGGCTGTCTTGATTTGATCTTCAGTCATGCTCTGATATGTTGGATAAAATGCTTTAAAAACAAACCTGATAGAGGTGGTATGTTTGGTGGGGAGATACCTGGCTGCCCTGCAACATCAGGGAGATCGACCATTTCTCCTTCTGTCTCCCCACTCATCCATTTCCTGAGTGCAGCCAGGTGTCAGCAGCTTTGTGTTGCTTCTCCGGGCTGTCCCTGGAGAGAACCAATTTGCCTTGATTTTAGTGATACTGGAAAGGTCTTCTCCAAAACGGGGGACCTGGGGTAGGGATGCCTCTGGAGCTGACTGTGGGGACCACTGAGTGGGCAAAGCCCCCCTTCTTTCTCTGCAGTGGAGGCCTTTTTCACATGCTAATTTTACTCGGAGGATTTTGTCTTTTTATTTTATTTTTTTTTATTATTTCCTATTTGTCTCTTCCAGATGTTTTCAGGGCAGTTTTTTTGTGTTGTAAACTAATTCCATTCATGTTTTAAAAATTTATGAAAGCGCTAATAAAAATGTCAAAGTGGTAAAAATGTTAGCTTTTCCTCTGCTTTGATTAAATTTTGCAAACTGTTTTTGAATATTAAAAAGCAATAATTTTTTTTATTCTCTCTCCTGGCTTTCCCTCTTCTCTCTGTTGCTTGCGTGTGCCTCTGGCCCTCTCCCCCCTCCGGCGTGTTCCTCCCTTCCCAGGAGCGATGTGTGAGGCATGCTGCACAGACGGCGTGCTGCAAGCCTGTTTGCACACCAGGACCTGGGTGCTGTGCATCTCTATTAAATAACGGAGACAAATTAATCTTAGAGACACCAAACAAATTGTCACTCCTCCTCCTTCCATTACGTTCCAGTGGACTGGGAAGGGCTGGCTAAGCGATTGGGGGGGCGGGGGGAGCAGGCTGAAGGGAGGGCGTACTGCCTGAAAGAAAGGTGGGAGGCATTAGCTCCTATTACTCTTTTTCAGCTTTCTCCTCTTCAGTATCCCCTTTGGCTTTATATATTATTGCTTTAAAAAAAATTTTTTTTGGTTAAAAACTAATGAAGAAACTCATTGGCTCTGTGTAAACGTCCCATGCAGAAGTCTGTGCATTAGTCTGATGGCTGGTTGTCTATGTGGCTGGAGACCCAGGCGCAGTCCAGGGCAGGGACTTGGGAAAGAGGAAGGGGGGGCTCCTTTTAGGGGCCTGAATGAGCAGGCCTCTGCTAGAAAGCAGTTGGGGCACATGGGGCAGATTCTTCCACTGTCTGCCTTCCCCGTCCAGAAACAGTGGGGATGTTGTGTGTTGAGTCCCTGGAATCTGTGAAGATATTAACAGTGGGAGGGTTAGGATTATAACTGAGCTAGCAACATCTCACACAGTCTTGGGTTTGGCCTGGCAGGAGCTAATGAGTCCAAAACACTCCCTTGTTCTTGACTCTAAGTTATTTGAAATGGTGGGTTTAAAAAAACTTATTCCTCCTTTTCTGTGCCTTTACCATTCCAGGAAATCATCGAGTTCCCCATCCTGAAGCTAAATGGCCGGACCATGGAGATTGAGTCTACCTTTCACATGTATGTCCAGCCCGTGGTCCATCCACAGCTTACTCCCTTCTGTACAGAGGTAAGGGCCTAGAGCTGGGCATCAGGGGCTGCTGGGACAGTAGCTTGGGGATCACTGGTGCTCTATACTGGCTGCTTAGAGAAAGCTTAGGTCTTCTCAGCAGTTAAGGCAGGTGCATGTTGGACCCAGCAGCTGGCTTTTTACAAAGCCTGCCCCTCCCCTTGGACCACTGTGGTTATGGGGGAACCTGGGGAGGGCAGTGGCACAGTCTGTCCCAGCTTCCCTAACATTTTCCCTTCCTTGTCATCCTCATCCTTTCCAGTGACCAGGCAGTTGGAGTCTAGGAGCAGGGTGGTGCCTCTGGGGTTCAGCTTCTTTTCAGTTCCATTTCCCTTAGAGCCCTTGGCAAGAGGTGAAGATTCCACCTTCTTGGAAGAAGTTATGTTCAGGCTTTCATACCTTTTTGGTGATGTTTCTCTGTCCTTGAGCAAAATGGTCCTGTGTGAAGCATTGGTTAAATTTCTGGGAAGCACAACTCTGTCACCAAAGAAAGGGAAGGGCAGTCCATGTAGAGGGTGAGGACAGCCTAGCTGAGGCTGAAATACCATCCTTATCTTATGCTGATACTGAACTCGACCACCTCGCCAACAGGTTCTTATTGGCCCCATTTTACAGGTTGTGAAACTGGGACTAACTGTGACCTTGATTCTTGCTGGAGGCTCAGAAGAGCCACTGGCAGAAAGGAGGCGCTCCTGCAGAGTTTGACTCTCAGGACTGTATGGAGAGGCCTTCCGTGGCTGCTTTCCCCTGTGACGCATAATATTTTGCACACTGTGGTGACCACAGGCGATGGTGGACTCATGGGTCAAGTGTGTGTAGTAGCAGAGGTGATGGGAAACATGAGTGTTCCTGGAATCTTAAGCATTTGGGGTGAGGGTACATTAGGGACTTTGTGCCTTCATTTAGAGACCCACTTTCTTCATGTGAGTGAAACAGGAAGAAAGAAGTTGTTGAGTAATCCCCAGACAATCCCTGTGCTGTGGGGGAAGCTGAGGAAGGGCCTGCCATTGGTGGGAGGTTCAGTGGGCTCTGAGGCTGACTTAGCCCAGATAGGAGATCTTGAGGGTGACTCCTGGGCTCAATGCCAGTGACCTGGCTGGGCATTTTGCTGTAGGCATCCATCTGCCAAGGTGTCTAGTCACTCAAGCCTTTTGTTGTTCCAGCCGATGATGTTGAGGCTCTTGCTCTTTCTGGGGTCAACTGTTTTTCAACCCTTTCTCCTGGGAACTACCTATACCACCAGGGGGCGCTAATCTGTCCTTTTTGCCCCTTTGGAAAAAGTCATCTCTTGATGAAAATTCCCTTCCTTACGGGAAGGGAAGGGAAGATTTTCCTTAATCCTGCCAGATACCTGAGCCCTCCGCTGGCCTGAAAGTGTAATGTCTTCTTATCCTTTTCTTCCTTCTTTCTGTGTGCGGCCTCCCCTGTGGGTCTCCAGCTCCAGGCAGGTTGCCTGGCATAGACAGGCAGGTCTGAACGTGGGCAAGATTGCTGGTTGTTTAGGATGGAACAGATCACTGCTGGAGCTCGGCCCTAGGCAGGAATGGATGCTTGAAAATATTGGGAAAAGGGTTTTTTTTTCAGAGCAGGGCTGCTATTGCTTCTCTTTTGGGGAAGGGGAGCAGCGACTGTGAGACTATGATGAAAGCTATTTCTTTTTCCTAGAAAGCTTCACCCAAAGACATAAGACCTACTCTGGAGGGTAGTAGGTCTGGCGGTGTTGGGATCCTTGTTATGACTGACCCCTGTTCTGAAAGTGAGGACGTGGCTGTGCTGTGTGCATTGATTCTACCATTTTGTTTTGGGTTTCCAGGGCTCAGAACTCTCCCTGACCTGGTCCCCACCTTTGTGTCCAGCCTCATACCTCTCTGTTTCATGTCCCCTCACTTCCCTCACCCAAAGCTTGCCCTCTCACTGTCCACGTCTGCTCATGACAGTCCTTCTGCCTGTGTGCTGCTGCCACCCTCCTACTTGTCCTCTAGCACTCTGCCCAGGGTCACCTTCTGTGGGAAGCCTTCCCTGAGCCCAAGTTGGGTGGTGCTCACCCAACGTAGCACCATTCAGATACATTACACTGTGATTATTTATCCATCTTCCCACTAGGCTGTGAGCTCCTTGAGGGCAGAAACTAGATCTGATCCATCTTTGTCCTATCGTTAGGGCCTGGCACCAAATAAAAGTACATGTTCCTTGGATGAATATTGTCAAGAAGTTACTCAACCACATCTTGCCTCCCCCCAAAGTAACTATACTGCTGACTAGCTCTTTTGAGTATTTAAAGTCTTTGGAAAACCTTGAATCATCTAAATATTTTCCCGTCTCCATCTGTACTAAATGGAATTGTAATGCAAAGAGAGGCATGGACACAGGATGGGGCTGTCGTTCTGAGACCTCCTCCAGTCTGGCTGTATTTGCCTTTGCGGGTAGGGAGGGAGGTCATTCCAGCCAGAAGGAATCTTTCGTTAGTAAATATGAGGAACCATCCCACACCTCCAGATTTTCCTAAACAGCTCCTCTGCCCTGGTAGGATGTTCTCTCTTGCACAAGAAGTTTTTAAAAACCCTGGCCGCGTGCGTACACAGACGAGCACATGCTTGTGTTAGGAGAGAGACAGGCTCAGTGCTGGGCAGCAGGAAGAGGGATTCTGCCTCAAGTGAGTCCACAGCCTGCACCTAGACACAAGTGTCTTACTGCTCTGTGTGAGGAACATGTGATTAGCCTTCTTGAGGTCCTTTTTCAGTTCCAGTTGATAGTCTGCCTGGAGACATGGTTCTGACAGAGGTAGGGTAGGATGTGTTTCCTTCCTCACCAGGCCCTTTCCCTACCATCTCTAGAATCTGCTCCAACTCATCAGAGCTCTGTCTCCAGCAGCTGGGCTGACGCACAGTCCCTGACCGTGTGCAGTCTTTTTTGTTGTTGTTGTCATTGTGGAAAAAAAAAAACTAGGAAAAATACCCATTTTGCTAAATGCCAGTAAAGGGCTTTGTCTTGCACCTGTACTTATAAAGGGTGAGATTTATTGGTCTCTTTGTCTGAGGAGAAAGAGTGGGTCTGATTATCAGATTGCACACCAGAGACAAGTGCTTATGTAATCAACAGACTGTCTTGGTGTCAGAATACGATCGTGCTGGAGATAAACTGAAGGGAGAAAGCACTGGATGCTGACATACTATTGGCACCGAGCGTCCTGGGCTGCTTCATGTTGCTGCCAGTGTTTATGTGGAAGCCAGCTCGTTCCTGGACAAAGCCGTTGTGCGGGTAGGGAATCTCAGTAACCAGCCATGTTATCAGTCAGGGTCAAAAGCCCCTCGCCTTGTGGTTTCAGAGTCTGGAGAAGCGGGAGTTAATCTGTAATCCCTCAGTGAAAGGAGCCACAGAGCACACGTTAATTCTTCCTCTCACCTCTCCTGCTTTAAGTGGTTAAGGTCTCTGAGCTCTGTTTAGCCTGTGAGCCTTGGTTCTCAGCTTAATAATACTTGGCTTTGCTCTAGTACCTTTCATTGTGAGGATGTGAAAGCTTTTTACAAACACGTATTAACCCAAGTGGGAATGGGTTTAAACAGTAGCATGAAAGATTTAGGTTAGGCCTAAGGTGAAACTTCCCAGTACTTATTATATTGTCTGTCTCCCTCACAGTTTCTGGTGTAAGTCATAGGTTGTCAGTATTAGGTACAGGGACTAACTTTTAAAATTTCACCTCCTCTTCATCCAGTGCCTTGGCAGAGCTGATAAGCTGTATATAGTCCATTGTTGGAGGCATTAATGCAAGGGAGTGAGGTCTCCCCCGGAAAGGATGCTTCTAGTTGAACCAGTAGCTCAAGCCCCTGTGTCTCTGGGGGTTGAGTTCAAGTCCTTTAGCTGTAAGCTGTAAGCTGTCCTATTGGACCACAGGTGGTCTGGGAAGCATGGAGAGGGAGGAAGCTGAGCTCACTAGGCTCCTCTCAGGCTGATGATTTCAGTATTGCTGACCACTGGAGAAGAATATGAGAAAATCCCAGGAGCCTGGAGACCAGTGCCTCAGTTTTTGTTTATTTTTTTGGATAGAGTGCTTTTGTTGGGGCCCAGAGCAGGTGCTTGTGCACCTTGTACACAGGTGCTGACCTAAGCCTCATCTCCAAGGTGGGAGGATTCTCGGCAAGGTTTCCTGTGTAAGAGAGACTTTCTGGAAGCTCTTCAGGGTTCATCTGAGTGACCCTTGGTGGGAGCCAAGGGAAGAAGTACACCTAACCTTTCCCCAAGAAACTTAGACTAGACACAAGAGTGCACACAGACCCTGGAGCTTTCCAAGAAGAGTGGCTGTGGGCCCTCTTCTCTAGGATAGACCTGACCCAAAGGCCCAGCTCCAGGCTTGGGGATGTGATTTGGCCCTGGAAGAACTGAGCAGGAGAGAAGCTGGGCGAGAAAGGGCAGTGGTGGGTGCATGGATGCCAGCCAGTCATCTGGCTATTAGACCTAGAGTTGGCAACAGGCCTTCTCCAGATCTGGCCCCTGCCTGGGACAGAACGCAAGGCTCTGCCTGCTCGCTGTGTGGCTCTGGAAGGCTGACAGGCTCTGGGTGCTGGCTGGGCTCGGCCAGGACAGGACGGGGCCACCAAGAAGAATGCAGATTCCAGGAAGGCAGGATTTCCTTGCTCTTCCTCACTGCTGGATCCCTGGTTCCTAGAATGGGGCCCAGCACACTGCAGCCTCTCCAGGAGTAGTTGTTAACTAAATAGGAGGAGGAGTCCTAGCACTTCAAGATGAAAGCTGCAGCCCCAGGGCTCTTCCCCATCCCCACCCCGCGGCCCTCAGGGGACCACCTTTTCTTCTTTTTGGCTCAGGCCCTCCCTCTGCTGGGCAGTCCTTTGGTCTCCCAGGAAAGGGTGTGGAGGTGCCAGCCGGGTGGGCATGCTGTGGGTTAAAGCCTTGCGAAACAACAGTGTAGTTAATCTTTCTAATTTATTTTCCTTTTAGACCATGGGAAGTCTGTAGGCAGCAGCTGTTACCCAATTAAAATACAGATTAATATAAAAACAGTTTCTGGAATATAAAATAGAGTGGCTGTGTCCTTACACTTCCTTAAAATACCACCTAATAATGACTTGATGAACTACAGAAACCCACCTAGAGGAACTCAGCGTTCTTAAAATGAAAATTTCTTCCCTAAAAGGTGTGTATTACCATTCCATGTAAGTCACTATGAGAAAATAACCTTCCCTCTTAGAGCCAGCGGTTCCTGTGAGTTGGGTATTTGGTATTCATTAAATGTAATTATAGTTTAATTGGAGTTTAATCCCCACCCCTCACACTTAAAAAAAAGTTTCCCAGCAGGCCTGAGATACTACTCCGTGTGGAAGTGGCCAGGGGCACACTGGCCGCGGTGACTTCTAACTGGGTGCAGGTCCGTGCGGGGGCCTGCTGCTGCAGAGCCTGGAGGCAGCCTGTCTGGGCTTGAGGGGTATTCTCACTTCAGAACAAAGCCAGGCAGCAAACTTGTTTGAACCTAGGTCTGACGAGATCTGTAGTCTTGTCTGCTAAGGGTTCCTGTTTCCTGCCTGGCTAGCAGGTGTGCAGGGCCCAGGTCAGCAGGGTGAAGGGTGGATGCCTGCAGGAACCTCCCCCCACCCCGGTCCCCCTCTTCACTGGTGTTAGAGGGGGAAGTGCTGGGAAGAGGTGGGCTTGGAACCCAATGTGCCTGTCCCATGTGGGCACCCCCGAGTTCTGTAGGAACTGCTGGGAAGCTTGGAGGCGAATTTACTTCAGACTATGATTTGTGGGGACTTACTGAGTCCATTGAATACCAAAGACATGTGCAATCAAATTTTCTACAAAACAAGCTGAAACAGGAATGAGACACACCCCACGGTTAATGTGTAGGCGTGACCGCCGTCCCAGGGTGGAAGTTGTGCAGAAAGTCACACTGTGTCCTGGGAGTTGATTCCCAAGGCTTCTGTCAGGCTCAGAGCCCACAGCTGTGCAGATCAGAGTCTTTCACAGTAGAAGGAGAAAAATGGAAAGGAGAGGATCCAGTCCAGCTTTGAAACCCTGTGCCCTGGTTTTCCACTCATTGACTCTCCTTCCTTCCTTTCAGCTCACCGGGATTATTCAAGCTATGGTGGATGGTCAGCCAAGCCTGCAGCAAGTGCTGGAGGTAGGTGGAGTGACCTTTAATTCCTGACCTCTGACCCCTTCCTGCTGCCTTCCTCTCCCTCCCTTCCTAAGAATGTAGCTGTGTAATTTGACTATGATTATGGCTTGATTAGAATAACATTTGCTGTCACATCAGTGACATGCTGTTGAGAGTATTGAACCATTGATCTGTCATCTCCAGCTGTTCCCATCAGGGTTACTGACAAGATGTCCGAGCGCCGCCAGGAGTCGGGGAGGCCCCACCCGCTCCTGGCCCGTGGCCCTGTGCCGGCCGGCTGGCTTGGGAAGCCCGCGCTGGGCAGGCTGGGAGTAGGCGAGCCGAGCTGCGGCACAGCGGGCCCAGCCCCGGGGACTGGAGGTGTTTTTGTTTAGCTTTAGTGTTGGCTTCCTGTGGCATGTGAGCACTTCATTAACTCACCCAGAACTCCCATCAATGGCTTTTGTTTGCTGTCAGCTCCTCCAGGAGGTGCGGCTGGGCCCGGCTGCCCCACTGCTGCTTGCCGCTGGATGCATTGTGCCTGTCAGGGGTGCAGAGGCTGCACTGGGTAATGATTCCTAATCAGAATAATTATAACAATTGCCTGTGTGAGGGAAATCAAATTAAAGGCTTTAGAACCCTTGGCAGAGACCACACTTCTGGGATGTTCTCCTCAGGGAGCTGGAAAAGGTTAAGATGCTGCTTCTCGTGCTCCAGCCTGAGGGAATAAGGAAGCAGTGCTTGGCCTCAGCTCTTCTCCCACCGCTTCTCTGGCCTGGGGTTTTCAGAGAGGGAGAAGGTCCCCCTCCCACTCCCTTCTCTCCAGCGGGGAGGGGAGAAGAGAAAGAGCCTGTGGATTTTGTTAGGCGCTTTATTTATCGTTAAGACCAGAAAATCCTGAATTCAGCCCCTGTCAAAGCACAGGAGCAAGCAGAGCGTCTCGGAGGATGGCCGAGCACACCAACATTGGTGAAGTCAGCCTGGAGGAAGTAGAGCGGTGGCGGGAGAGGGAGGAAGATCTCTTTCTTGAGCCAAGTGGGCCTGTCTCGTAGGGGAGAGAAATGCAGACTGAATTTCCTGGGGCTCCTCAGGATGGAGACAGGGCCGGAGAGATAGGTTTTGGCTCCCTGGTGGCCTGTCCGGCTCTGGATAGGGGTTGGAACAGATGAGATGAGCTCTTAGGTGGCTCCCAGCCCCAATGACCCTCTTTTTCAATGGGGAGAGTCACCCCGATGACTAAGGATACTCCTCAGCCTGGAATGCTCTCTCTAAGACCAGACTCGGAGAAAGAAGGGACCCTTCCTTCCCTGTCTCCCAGCCAGTCTCCCTGGCCAGAGCCTGGCCCCTGAGCGAGGCCAGAGGCTAGGCAGCTCTTCCCTGCAGTGCCTCTGGCTGGGATCCTGGGAGGAAGATGCTTATTCTGGGCCGGCACCAAACCAGGGCTGTGGAAGTTACAGGGTTTTCTCCTCAGTGGTGCCAGTTGAGGGGGAGATTGGTCTTTAAGAGGCTTCCTCTTGCTGACTCCAGGCCACCCTGGAGCAGGATGCTCAGAGGATTATTCTGAGTCTCACCTGGAAGCTACTTTCTGCCACTTCAGCACACTTTGTAGGTGAAGAGGGAAGATTCCTGGCATTGGCTTGGTTGGGGAGTCTGTGGTAGGACAAGGAGACCAAGCCGGGCCCTGCTTTGTTCCATTAGCCCTGAGCTGGTTATAGAGCTTAAGAGCTAGTTTTTGTACTAACCAAGGTCCTGAGCAGATAACCAGCTAGATGTTCGCCTGACACATTAGTTCTAGGTGGGGCTCAGGCTGGGCTCCTTTGGACCTTCAATAGCTGGGAGGGCTGGCCTAGCTGATTGGGGGTTATCTTGGTGGTCCCTCCAACCCTTTATCCATTAAAACAGAGAAGGGAAGGAAAATGACCAGCCTGATTCCAAATGTATCACTTCCTTGGACAGGCTCATAGTAGAAACTGCATGAGTGAATGGCCTCAGCCCTAAGCTTCTAAGGACCCCAGTAAGCAGTAGGTGCTTCTCATGGTGCAGGCCTGGTCCTGCTGGGCGCTGCCTCCTGACAGTCCTGTCCTGTCCTGCTCTCTTTTCCAGAACCACTGTTCAGGAGTTGGGGCATTGGGAAGCCCCCTAGCAGGTGGGGTACTTTCCTTGGGGATATAAGGCCAGTGAGCTGGAGCGAGATTAGCTGACTTAGGGAGCTCCAGGTTTGCCTGACCTCTTTTCTTATGGAAAGACTGCCTTATTTCCTTCAGGAGGGCCTTGGGGAAAGGATACACAAGTGCATGTGTGTACGTGTATGTCTGTGCAAGGGCTTGGTCCAGAGTGGCTGGGGAGACAAACCATTCAACAGTGGAAGGTTCAGAAGTTAGTTGATGGGGAGGCCCTCGGGCTGAGGAGAATTCTTTGGTGTACAAGCTGTAGAGAGGGTCTGCAGAGTCTGGCACTGGGGAGTAGCCCTGATGTTCCAGGAGGCAGGGCTGCTGTAGCCATGGCCTAGATGGGATTCTTGGCCCTACTCCAAGACTGCTTCATCATGGGCCAGCCCTCCAGAATCTGAAATGTCCAGGGAGCCCAGGATTACCATGTGCTCTCATTCCCTGATGGGCACACAAGACCCTTTACAGTGGCCCAACCTAGTCCCCCAGCCTCAGTTCCTGTCCCTCCTTTAATTTACTGAGGACTTCAGTCACATTGCTCCCTATTCACATGTCAGTCAGTTGGCTAATATCTGTTGAGAAGACACTGTGCTGGGTTAGAGATTGACAGCGAATAAGACAGATGCCTTCATGGTGCTGATAGTCTGGTGGGGAAGGCAGACATTAAACTGACAGTTGCTTCTCAAATACAAATGTGTGTGCCCTGTGCCCTTGCCTGGAGAATCCTCTCCTGTGTTCCACCCTGTCAAGCAAATGCAACCTCCAAGCCCTTAGTTCAATCATCTTCTTTATGAAGCCTTTCTGACCCCTTTCCCTGTGAAAGGTAGGGCAGACCTCTGCGTCCTCGGCCTGATAGCATTCTGGGTATTTCTCCATTGCTGCCTCTATCAGATTGTATTATGATGATCTGTCTTTCTCCCCTTCCCAGCCTACTCTCTATTTTTAGGTAGGCACTTAATACATTATCACATATAATTCTCAAAACAACCCTGTAAGGTTAGTCATCTTACCTCATTTTATAGATGAAGGAAACTGAAGTTCAGAGGGGTTAAATGACTTTTAAATGACTTCCCTTCAGTGACACCACCAGGATGTAGAAGAGCCAAGGTTAGAACCCAGATGTGTCTGACTTTCAATCCCATGTTTCTAATAACTATGCGATACAGCCTTTAAAAATAATCCTCCTGTGTGAGCGGAACAGTGGTGTGATCTGCTGCACTCTCGCCCCATGCCTGGGATCTTCTGAAAAATAGGCAATGCTTCATGAATTCTTTATGATAATTCTCTCGTTATATACTGGTTTTAGTATTTGTACTTCGAATGTGAGTGCAAATAATAAAAGTGCATCAAAGGGATGAAGGGAAAGAAAGACTAAAGTATGTTTAGGAGCAGTTTCTTTCCCTGCCTAGGAACTTTCCCTGCCTTTCAACCTTTGAAAGATTCTGCTGGATTTGAATCCCCAGCCAGGAGAGGAGACATACGAAGTCTGGGGCCAGTTTATGAGCTTGTAGCAACTGGAGCCGGCAATGCTAGCCCAGTGGTCAAGATGGGGCTTCAGCCCAGCACAGGAGCCTCTGCTGCTAAACTCATGGTGAAAATTAACTTCACCTTCATTTTGGAAATAACCAAATTCATAAATCTAGTAAATGGACACTTGGTGGGAGGGTGGAATCAATAAATGAGGGAATGAACCTGTGGATTGGGGTTCCTGCTGGCGCCTCCTTCCAGCCTGTTCTCATGGCCCAGAACAGCCTGTGTCTATGCTAGGTTGCACCTCTGTTTGAGGATCAGATTTGGACTGACTTACTGGGATCTGTCCTTATCCTGTCCAGGGTGGGCTGCTAGGCAATGGAGGAGTGGTGGGGCTCACTGCCCACCCCACAACACTTGGGCTTGCGGGATCTGCCTGCAGGGATTGTCCTGCAAGTGCCTCCTTAGTTCTGAGCCAAGGCTGGATGAGATTACAATTTTCTCCTGCCCTGATTACAAGCAGCTTATCTGCGTTTCCCTGTTGTGGCTCTTCACAGACTCAGGGGGAAAAAAAGGAAAATCTCATCTGTTCTTGTTGTGTACTTTTCAGAGGGTCGATGAGTGGATGGCGAAGGAAGGCCTCTTAGATCCAAACGTCAAGTCAATTTTTGTCACCTGTGGAGACTGGGACTTAAAAGTCATGTGAGTATGAGAAGGACTCCTTTGCTGGCCAGGCCTGGACTGCGGGGTCAGGTTTTGCCTTTCACAGGCTCAAATGTCCAAGCCTACAGGGCAGCTGGATCAGGGAGTCTCTGGATCTTTGGGGCTGGCAGGGCAAGACGAGGGATGGGAGCCTTGCCTTCTGCCTCTGAAACTGGGAGTGGACAGGCCCAGGACCCTACCGGTACTGCTGTCGCCTTCCTGCCTTTGCCAGGCCAGCCCTTCCTGTCCTGGGGCTACGTTATTGCCCTGACAGGAAGGAGTTACAGGAGGGTCTTTGATTTTTTTTCCCAAACCAGATGCATAGTATTTACTATTCTAAATGCTTTAGAAATAGTAACTCATTTAATAACTGTAGGTACTCTTGTTGGTCCTGTTTTTTTATAGGTGAGGTAGTTAAGGCACAGAGAGGTCAAGTAACTGGCCCAAGAATACACAGAGACAGGATTCAAAACCAGGCAGCCTGGCTCCAGGGTCCATTCTCTTAACCGTTGTACTATACTATGCTCTTATGTGGGATACAAGGCCCTGATGATCCCATGGAAAGGTTGAGGGGATGAGAGAGAGCTGCTTGTAGGAAGCCGCTCAAATCACCAGCCTCCTCTTTCCTCCTTTGTCCCCACTGCATTTCCTCCTTTGTCTCCTGATCTTGCCCTGGTTATAGAAGACAGAACTTGTTCCTTTGCTGGGTTGACACTTCTGCCTCTTGTCTATCCTCATGGATACCTGGCTTCACAGAGCCCCCAGGGAACTGCAGTGGGGTGGAGGAGGTGGGGGCACTGTTTGCTGAGGATTGATAGAATCGATACCTCTGTGTTCTTTGTGACTGAAGGCAGTAGCAAGCATTCTGCGTGTGTGTGCGAGCTTTTGAGCATAGAGTGGGGTTTGGTGGGGGTGGGGAGTCGTGGCTCTCAAATGACATTGCCTATCAATTCAGGGATTATTTTCTCACCAAGGCTGTTTTTATGCTTTCTGGATGCTGGGCGTTGAGGTGAAGTTATGCACCCAGGTGGCTGTCCAGCCTGCTCTTGGACATCAACCCTCTAGGTGAGGCGAGAGGAAGAATGAGCCCGGATCATACAGACCCCTGCGCACCTCATCTTCCCACCCCTTAGGTGTGGGCTGGGCACAGCGTGCTTCTGGGTGATGTTCATTGTCAAGGAAATTATGGGGACTGGGCCCGGAGGCAGAACTGAATTCGGGGAGGCTTCCAAGGAGAAGGTGAAGAGGAATGCTATCACTCTTGTTTACAGCATCCTGGTCAGCTTTGAGCACTTGAAGCAGGGAAGGGACTTCCATTGAGCTCCAGCACGGGAGCTGCTATCCGGGGTGGAGCAGAGTTCAGGCTGACACCAGGGTCCTGGGCTCTCTGTGGCCCAGGCTAGAGACTCAGTTTCTCCATTTAGCCTTCTGAGATTTCCACTCTCCCACTGGTTTTCTCTTTGGTGTGTTCATGTCCCAAACAGCCTTCTGTGATAACTGAATGGTGTGTACTATATGCGTATATGAAAACTTTCTTCTGTGTGATGTTGGGGACTACCTCGCTGGGCTTCCCAAGCTTGGAGTTGGTTTCTCCATGAGAAGGACATGGGGTTTCAGAGGGTGCCGGCTTCTTTGCATCTGGCCTGTGCTGGCCTGCAGCACCAGTTCAGGCCTTGGCATGGTCGGCCCTGGACAGATTTCGGTGACTCAGGAGACTGCTTTGCATGTTCATAAGAACTGATGTAATTAAATGGGGTGTCAGGGTTGGGTAGTCAAAGCATATATAAGAAGAAATCAAATTTTAATGAGCACATCCTGTATCTCACTCAGTCAGCCTAACTGCCTTCTCTGGTAGGAGATGGTATCTCCCTTTTATAGATGAAAAAATTAAAACAAAACAAAGTGAAAAACTGAGGCTCTAATGGGTAGACTGAGAGCTAGACAGAATTGGATTCTTAAGGCCACATAGCTTCCAAAAGAGATAATTCTGGCAGGCTTTGGTGGCTGGTTGGGGTCTGGATTGGGAAGGCCAGTGCAGCTCTGAAAATGAGTGAGCAGGGAGGAGGCAGAGGCCAGGTGGCAGGACCGGGGGAGGGGAGCCGTGTGGCTGCCTTTTCGAAGCAGGACTCCGCATAACTGCTGGGAAGGCTCTTAATTAAATGTGTAACAAAATAAAAACAGCCAGAGAGGAAACCTAAGTAGTGCTGCGTGACAGTGCACAGCTTACCGGCGTTCCTGGAACCTCTCGTCAGAACCGTCACCTTCTCGCGCGCCCGGTAAAGCCTGCTGATGAGCCTGACAAGAGTGGTGTTAAATTGACACCCACAACTTGTTAGTGTGTGTCTTGCTTCTTATTTTGACATCCATTTTCAGATTTAACTAAGTCCAAGGTATTCAGCAAATATTTTCATTCCCCACTCTAGTTTCTCCTTGCTGTCCTTCCCCTCTCTCTCAGCCCCCTTCTCCGTCCAGCCAGCTTCACAGCACTTCTGTTGGAAGGGGCCTGATTAGGGAGGCACTGAGAGATAGGGACTGAAGTGGCAATGGAAATCCCACTGGAGAAAAGAAATCTGCTCCCATCCTGACAAAGTCATTTTGTGTCCATCTTTTGTCAGCTGGAATGGGTTGATACCCAGGTTTATGTGAGCTTGGATACTGTTGTCACAGAGCCTGCTAAGGTGGGTTTTCATTTAGTGGGTGTGAATTTAATTTTCTTTCTAAACTTGTTTAAGGTATAACACCTCTGGCTTTGCCTTCCCTACCTTACCTACCTTTCCTTTGCCTTACCTGGTATTTCTTGAAGCTCCTCGTGGAGTTTAGTGTTCTTTCACCAATTTTCTCTCCTCTTTGCTTTCTGTATTGTCTCTGTTGAGGGATCCTGTCTTTGGCGTGGTGGGAGGGTAGGGTGGGTGCAGAGTGAGGAGTGACACCTGCACTAGGTGTTGTCCTTGAGGATCTCAGATTTCTGCTTGTAGCTTGAAGACCTGGGTTTACCGGCTGAATAGCACAGGTGGCTGAGAAACTATACCAGAGGCTTTCCCAGTGGCCTGTGGGTCTGAGAAGAGAGGCAGATTGGGAAGATGAGGGTAGGCTGGGCTGGGCTAAGCTAAGAGGTAAGGAAGAGCTGATAGAAGGGTGGACCTGGTCCCTGGTGCAATCTGGGAAGACGCCCTTTGGAGAAGATCAGGGTAATCAGACCCTTCAGTGGTGGAGCAGGGTCCAGGGGCCCGCTCAGAGTCTGTTGAGAGGACATCCCATCTAGCTCAACCTCAGTCTTCCTGCCATTGGAGGCTGAACGAGTGAACGCCGGGCTGGTATTTGACTTGAGTGTTTTCCTTGCTTTTCTCACGAGGTGTGCATGCCACACCCCTCTGCTGGTGCTGTGCAGCTATGGACCAGAACGCCTGGAGATCAAAAGATACTTGCTCAGATCACCCTACTCACTGCTTGTTTTGGGGGCATGCACTCAGTGGGAACTACAGAGGGCCACACAGCCAAGACTGTTGAAGAGCAGAGACTGCTGTCACCTGGGGTGCAGTCCCATGGTGATGGAACCACATGCCTGGGATAGTACTGTGGGGCAGGGACTAGCCCATGGTGAGTGTGGATGAAGGCTGGAAGGGTGAGCCAGTGACATGCATGCCGGGAGTCAGGCTGGGCCCTCTAGGCATCATTCAGCAGAGCTGACCACTTCATCCTTCTTGAAACACTCTGCATCTCTACTCTTCTTGTATCTCCATTTCTCTGACTTTCCCTTCACATTCCTTTTTGCAAATGCTTCTTTCCTTACTTTTTTCTTAAATTTGGTGCTGCTTAAACTTTGGTATTTCTTTGATCTCTCTCCTGGCTGTCTTTTCTTTTTTTCTACATACTCATACTTCCTAGTGATCTCATCTATTGCCCCAGCTTCAACTATTCTCTGTGTGCTATCTTCTCATCTTTTTCTCCATCTGTCATCTGAACTCCAAGCCTTCATATCCAGCTCCTATTCTGTATCCTACCTAGATATCCACAGATCCTTAAAGCTCAAGTGTTATTTTTCTCTCAGCACCTAGTTCTCCAGCATTCTCTCGAATAATGACTAGGACCATCATCTACTCAGTAGTTGTCAGAAACCTGAGAATCATCCTTGGTTCCTCCCTCTGGCCACAAACAGTTAATTGCCAAATCCTGTTGATCCTTTCTCCTTAAGTTTTCTCAGAGTCATTGCCTTCTTTCCAAACTTACTACCACTGCCCTCGTTCTGGTCACCGTATTCTTGGATTACTATGAAAGTCTTCTGGCTGGCCTCTCTGATTGTCTTGCTTCTTCTATTGCATTCTTCTAATCGTAGCAGATTATGTCACCCACTTAACACCCTTCAAGCTCCCCTTGGCCTCAAGGCAGAGTCACACTGTTTATTGAAGCTTTCAAAGCTCATGTTTATTCTCCAGCCTCATCTTCCAATACTCTCTATGTATTCAAGCCCCCACTCCAACCAGATGCTCCACCTGGCCAATTCCTAAGAAGCCCTCTTAACATCTTTCTCTAGGTGTCTTCCCTGTGTGTTCCTGGAGCACATGTACTTATTCATGCATAAAATTGTATTGTAGCTGCCTCAACTTGTCTGTCTCTGTCACTAGATTGTGGGCACCATTATAACCCTAGGACAATGCTTGACATGTAGCAGTTGTTCAACAAATATATGTTGAATAAATGACAATTAAGTCATGGAGTGGGCCTGTGGAATCCCTGCACAGGAAGAATGACAGAGGGTCGATAGTGGGTAGATTCAGGGAGAATGGAACAGAAGAAGAAATCTCGGGCCTTCCAGCCTGAGTGTGAGGGGTTAGAGGACAGTACTGCTAGTGCCAGGAGGCTCCTGGATTTCCCCCTGCCAGCACTGGATATCGGGCCTTCTCTGGTGGGTGCTGGGTGAGGTGGTGCCTGGGCCTGCACCAGGGAGGAGGAGTTTGGTCCTAGGCAACAGTATGAAGGGCTTTCTCTGAGAGATTTGTGCC